CGGCAAAAAGGTGGATATTATGCATGAGATGAAAAATATACCCAGAAAAACAAAAGATCGGGCTTTATGCAAAAAACTGGTAATCATGTGCCTGAAAGTTCATGCGGCCCTATAATGCAACACCTTCATCCCACCAGATGCCCGTTCTCCTATATGCCAAAAGAGGCCAGAGAGCGACCATTATCAGTCCAAGTGTTAGACTACAGCGCAGGGATCATTCCTGCTGTTGGCGATCAGCAAGTTTGGTGCAAAAACGCATAATCGCACCGGCAAGCCTGGTGCGTTCCATCCTGGGTTTTTGGTTTATAACCTCTCTCTCCCTTCCCCCCCCTCCCCCGCCCCCTCTCCCACCTCTCCCAAAAAAAAGAAAAAATCAGTTCTGCTGCATAGTACATTACGAGGCGGCAACGAGCACCGCGGTCCCTTCCGGACACAACAATAGTACACCTCTGTATGACTGACACATCTGATAATCTTGTCAAATTTGGTGTGACCGATGGTCAGCCTTCCAGGTGGTTTTGATGCACTGTCCATCCTTTTTATGTGTTTTGTGCTGTGTAGCAGCATTACAAAACGCATGTTATCACGGGGTTGTCTGTGTGTGTCTCACATTTTGTCCTGCACTTTCAACTCGGGAACCACAAAAGCTAGGCGGCTGAAATTTTGGTATAGTGTTCCCCGCCAGCAGGGGACACGGCAGATTTAAATTCAGCCTTTCCATGCCTGCGGATAACAAATACGGCCACGTGAAGTTTTTTACGGGTAAATTAATATCTCGGGAATCACGGAGTCTAGAAGACTGAAATTTTAGGGTAATGATCCCCTGCCCACCCTCAACCTTGCCCATTCAAATCCGCGTCCTCGGGCATCACGGGCTAGTGAAAGTTTTTATGGGTAAATTATTATCTTGAGAACTACGGGGTCTAGGAAGCTGGAATTTTAGAGTAATGACTCCCTGCCCACGCTCGACCTTGCCTATTCAAATTCAGTGTTCCCGCGCTCTTGAGTATCATCTACGGCCTCGTGAAAATTTTGGCGGGTATACTATTAACTTGGGAATCACGGAAAGATATTCACTCTTCAAGGTTTCGAATTCAACTTTCTTGCGCTGGTGGGTGAAATTTTTAACTGTTTTCCAATGTTTGAACTATTTCTGCATAGT